GTTTGTTGCTTTTTATATTTTTCCTACTCAATCTACTAATTAGTGCAATGTCTTGTAACACTCAAATTCATTCAGTTCGTGGGTCTCCATCAAAATTTAAATGAGAAGTCAGTATATAATTAACCAACACAACAATCTCGATCAAAAAAGAAAATACTTGGCTCCTTACATTAAAGGAATCTTGTACAAATAAATCACAGTTCACACGTGTAAAAAACTTTTTCCTTTGTGATTGTTTTACGTCACTTCAACATATATGTTAGTTTATGATTTGCAGTTAAGGAGAGCCGAACTTTGTTCTTTAAAAAAGTAATATCTTCTCAACACTTGTATTATACATATCAGTGAATGTTCCAATCGACACGAGCAGATTCAATACAGCTTTTAAGAAGTAAAGTAATACTAAAGTAGAATCCACCCAGAAGAGAGAACAAAAGCCACTTTATCACCAAGTGCTTAAGCTGACCCTGCAGCTTGAGGCCATCTAAGTAAGGTGTGGATCAGATCATGCATTAAAGTTGACAAGCGAAGCATCTATGTCCACAGCAGTAGAAAGCCTTATTTATATTCTGCCATGTGAGAAGTAGATTGGTCCAGCGCTCTCTGTGAATCTTCTAAGCAGCTGAATATGCTCATTCGCCACTGTTCGTTCTATCTTTCTGTTCAGATTCCTTTCCATTCAAAAACAAAATTATCTTGATGAGATTCTTGATAATTTCAATGTCAACAAGATCGATACATAGGAAATCGACTGCCAAGTAATCTGTACATGTTCGCGTCGGTCACATTCTTTGATTGTGAATTGGAGCGGCACAAATTATATATCATGAAGGATCTTCACTTTGTTCCACAAAGCCTGCATTATGTATATTCCATGAAAATTAGTCCACAAGTGCGAGTCAGCATGAACAGAATATCAAATCCCCCTACAAAGTATGAGGGCATGCATCGGTTGTTTTCGCTGAAGTCACTTATTGTTATACCAGCATCTACAATCCTTCATCCACCTTCCAGAAAGAAAAAAAAGCATAAATATTAGTTCTAAGCACAGTTACTTATCTGCGTGTTTTGTTCCCTAACACGAACATGAACACGAACACGAAGCACTCATTTAGTAGATAGAATTTGCCCTTGTAAATGGATGAACCTGCATATATAAGCGATCATCCTTCTGCATAAGACAGCACAACCGAATGTTAGTTAGTCTGACCCGAGTTCAGTGCGAGCCATATTATTCCTTACAACCAAAGTTTTTACATCTAAATAGACGTTATGGCAATGTATTAGAAACGAATGCGGACAAGAATATCGTGTGCATATTTTCCTACTACATATATTCTGAACTCTAGTAATCGGGCGAATTCTTTGTACCTCATCATTGCAGATAAAAGACATCCAAGTCAGAAAGGTTAGCCAAAACTTTATGTCACGACACTGGTTCACTGTGGAAGTAGTCCTTATTCCTATTCAAGGTGTAAGGCTACCAAAGCATCGGTACCACAAATAATTGCATACCAAAGTTACGAAACACCATGAAAACAAGACTCGATGCCTAGTGGTCCGAAGTAACAATCAAATTAACAAAAAGGAAATTGCATCTACTGCACCATTCCTTTCTTGAACATGTACCTTGCTAATCCCACAGTTTTATATTCTCCCCACAGATGTTCTTCCAGGTCCACGTACGTTTGTATTGCTTGCTTGCGCTTTAGTCTTTCTATCCCCAATCTGTTGTATTATCTTGTGTTCCATCTCGTGGCAAGTGAAAGCGAATCTGCTGTCAAATTATTTGAGTTCATACTTCTCCATTAAGCAAATCAGCAAATGCAACTACATAACATAAATCGCAATCTCTTCTCAGAAAACTATCACAATCTTATAGATCAAATCACGTATCCATCGACAAGAAAATTCGAAATAAACGAAAGCAGTTCATGTCTACAACAGTAAAAGACTAATTCTCTGCGAAAATAATTCGTCTTTCTTGTTGTATCTTGTTTGTTTAGATTCCTTTCCATTAAATTAATCTGATAGGAAACAGTTTCTTAATTTAAAAATCACACTAACATGCTAATAAACCCAAGTATTCTTATTTCCAATGTGGTTGGTAATATGCTTCTCAACAAATTACCAAAATTTGTGGAAAATCGCTCCAAGCAAACCTGCAGGGATCAATCGAGCGACATTAAAAAATTTAGCGAGATCATAATCGAGGGAACCAACAGACAAAGAGATCTATAGAAGATCGCTTAGAGGGTACAAAATATCATCAAGGATCTTCTGCACTTAGTTCCACGCTGCATTATGCATATTCCATCCCCAAAGTCCCGTTTCAAACCACCATCAACGGAATATCGATACTAATTGACTAGGAAAAAAAAGAGAACAGAATATCAATCTCAGGTACAAGACACAAATGTATCAGTAGGTTTCACACAAAGCATCTCCAACCCTTCATCGTGGTCCCTGTGGTGACACGACACTTTCAATGTGACCCTCGTGGTGAAAAAGTTGTTAATTAAACCCTCGTAGTGAGCCTTGTTAGCACAATACCTTGCAAAAAAAAAAAAAAGATGAAGCGAAGGGAATTGATTTTGTTTTGTGAAAAACCAGATTATTTGTTTATTTTGTGGAAAACATTTTTAATGACTTTTTTTGTTACCACAATATATTGTGGAAGACATACTTTTGTCTTTTTTTTTTGGGGGGGGGGGGGTTTGTTGGATATATGCTAAATGTGCAAAATACATTATGGTATAAGAAATGATGAAGTTAAAAATGACCTTTTGTTATGATGAACCACAATATATTGTGGAAGAGATACTTGTCTTTTTTTCTTTTTTTTTTTGGGGGGGGGGGTGTTGGATATATGCTAAGTGTGCAAAATACATTATGGTATAAGAAATGATGAAGTTATTTTTTCTTTCGTGAATGGTTAATGTAAATTATCTCCCCTTTGTTTCAATTTGCTTTGTACACTGGAATCAAATGCCAACTCACAAAAGAAACAAGTGTATGTCATAACTCACCCAGAAAGAACACACATATATGGTATGAAATAGGATGTAATTTGGATTGAAATGATGAATTTGACTCATCCACGTGACAGTCAAATGAGTTTATTTAACGGAACACTAACGGAAGTTTGGATTTGGACCTCAATTGCTAACAGGTCTCACCACGGGAGTTTAATTAATAACTTTTTCACCACAAGAGTCACATTAAAAGTGTCATGTCACCATAGGGACCAAGAAAAAAATTTGGCCTAGTTTTAATTGTCCCTAACATGTACGAGGCACTCATTTTCGTTACTAATTGATGGTAATTAAAATTCTGCAATCACTCACTCACATCACTAGCTCTCTTAGCCTACTCCATTTCAAATCGCCATCTATACTTGTTTCGTATTTTTTTTGTTGGTTACGAGAGATGTAATAGGAGGGAGAAATCAAACACAAAACTTCGAGCGCAGGATTTAACTAGTCTTACATTATATAGTTGCTGAGTTTCCAAGTTTCCAACTTGCATTTGTAGTTTTCGTGCCTCACAAGCCACAAGACTCACAACCACTAGTCTTTGCATATAACATGTGTCACAGCCAATCTTAACCACAAAATGTCTCGAGACTTGATGCTACAAGCCTATGCGACAAGCCCACAAAATTGTGGTCATGGAAGTAATCACAATTTCTATAGGATGTGTATATTGAATTTGAATAAAACAACTAGGGCTGGAATTTTTGTACCCAAATTCAGACTCGAAAAAACTAGAAACGATTACCTAATAAAACGAAACAGAAAATCCCGAAAATTAGATACTGAAAAATTCCAATAATTCGGTACAGGACCTCATGGTCGTATTTTCAGTAATACCAATCCAAACCAAATATAAACATATATATTTGTATATTTAAGTTTTGTTATTAATATGTCTATAATCTAAATATACTAGCCGTCAGATTGGTTGAGATTATTTGTCAACCATTGTTTTGAATAGAAGACTTATTTCCTCTCGTTCTAAATGGGCGACCAGCCACCACCACTCTGTCCACTCCAGTTTGCGATCGACACCATCCTTGCACCGCCACCAGACCTTTATTTCTCCTAAATCAAATTTCGGGATCCCGAAAATTTTGATTCAATTTCGTTATTTAATTTTCTCAGACTAAAATTTTCAGTTTGATTTTCTAGATAAGGGTTTCGGTTCGATTTCCAAATTGAACCCAACCCTTAAAACAACCATTATTCATTCATTATTCGAAAAAAAAAATTAATTTGATGAAGAAGGCTTTACATAAAATGGGTTCATTTTCACAAGAAGTTTTCATCTAATAAAGTAATGTCAAAAAGATCACATTGACGGTGATTATGTTCCATGTTCTCCAATTTAAGGCAGAAGCAAGCAAAATGATTGGCGGGCACCCAAAAAAGACGGAAACTAAACACACAGCAGACCCCACAACTACCCATTATCTCAGAATCTCCTTGTCCAACCCCTTTCTAAACGTACAAGGATTGAATACCCTCCACTTTCGGTGCCCTCCCAGTGCTCTTCTGTTTTTTATGATCACGGTTAAGTTATGTCAACATTTTATATATATTTTTTTATAGATATAATAAAACAAAAATGAATAATAATATAAAATGTTGACGTGGTTTAACCGTGACCACACAAACAGGAGGACACCGAAAGTGGAGGGCAGACAATCCTTGCCCTTTCTAAACACACCGACCCCATTCCATTTCATTTTTCTTTATCAAACACATCAACCAATCGGATCGTTAATGGATAACCATTAAAACCTATTTGATTTGATATCAAATTTAACGGATTTTAACAATTCAATAAATTGATTTGTCATCTCTAATTGCGAAGCCTTCTAAACTAACGAAAGAAATCAAATTTAAGGACAAAAAATTCGAGAACACTGTTTTGGTTAACTGACCTAACATGCAAAGAAAGAAAGCAATCGAGAACATCATGAGTACCATGCAAAGGAGGAACAAAAGGCAAAAATTAAGATTTGGTTGGAAGACAATAATATCTTAAAAAGCAAAAATATTTGACTACTAAGAAGACATAGGAAGAGGGGAATAAGGCCCTGAATTTACAAAAGGGCGGATTCGGCTCCCAATTCCCCCAACTTTTTTGCCATAAATTACAAAGGACTCTCCCTCTCTCTATCACCTTAACACATCCCTTGCTCTCCATGAAGGATTAAAACCAAAACAAAAAGATTAAAACTAAATTTAAAAAACAGACGGCCCCGGCAGACACACCGACACCAAACTAAAGGGATGTTTGAGACTTCTTAAGCACAGCAATAAGACCACTGTTCCTCCTCGCCAGCAGAAGCAGCAGTCCCCGTCGAATCCGAAACAACGTCGTCGTAATCATCTTCGCTGCAATAGTAGAACCCATGGTTATTCATTGCACTCATGCTACAAGAAGAACCTGTCACCAGATACGGCATGTTGTGGAAGGACTGGACGAGGCTGGTGGCCACAGCCGCACTCGCCATGCCCCCATCATCCCCCTGCCCGCACTCCTCCGCGCGGTGCTTCAGCGTCTCAAACATGAGCTCGGGCTCATGCTGCATCACCCGCAGGACGTCCCCACACGACGGCCCTGGCACAGCCCGCGTCACTGCAAAGCTGTGGGGACCGTCGCTCTGTGAGACCCGAACAATGCTCGGGCCAGCGAAGAGGTTGTGGACTCCTCCGAGCGCCTCCTGATAAGCCCCGCCCAAGAACATCCCTAAATAGTACTTTTGCCCACCGCCATTATTCCCACCATTGCCTTCCAGCTCATGCAGCGGCAAGCTAGACTCGCCACCAATGAACTTGTCGATCTTCCCATCACTGTCACAGGTCAAGTCTGACAATACCCCCCTCATCGCCGGCCGCTGGTCGAGGCGGTGAATCGGGACAATCGGAAACATCTGCCCAATACCCCAGAAGTCTGGAATTGAAGTGAAAACCGAGAGATTCACATGGTATGTGCGGACAGGGTCAAATGCTCCGATTGCTTTCGAAACCATATCACAGAGTCCATCAACGGTGGCTAATTGCTCAATACCAACAGAGCCTTCTTTGAATTGTTCAACACACCGTTGCTTCAACACATCAGCGTATGTCAAACAAGCCTCGTACTCACCTCTGATTGCCGCAGCGGAGAGGTTCAGGTAATCGGCACGAGCTTCCTCCGTCAGCCCCTCGATGAAGTACTGAAGCTCATAGGGGGACATGGGAGGAGCATCGTCACAAGCACTGGAAGAAACAGCCTCAAATATCAGAACCGAGTGATGGGACACCAGGGCTCGGCCGCTTTCGCTGCAAATCACCGGGTGCTTCACGGACCTCCGTTCGCAAACGTTTCGAACTGCTTGGACAACAGCGGAGGCATACTCTTCAAGGCTGTAGCTGACCGAAATATCCGAGGTACTCGATTTGGAACCATCATAATCAATACCCAGACCGCCTCCAATGTCTATGACCTTCATGTGAGCACCGAGGCGGACCAATTCGCAGTAGATCTGTGCCGCCTCGGATACGCCATCAGCGAGCAGAGCCGTCGACGGGATCTGAGACCCGATATGAAAATGCAACAACTGAAAGCAATCAAGCATACCCAGCTTATCAAGCTTCTTCACAACGCGTAAAATCTGAGTGGTGGTGAGTCCAAACTTCCCCTTCTCGCCGGACGTCGAACCAAAATGGCCCGAATGCTTGGTCTTGAGCTTAGCGCGGACGCCAATCACAGGTCGAACGCCGAGCTTCTGGCTCAAATCAACGACCAAATCGAGCTCCTCCTCTTGCTCGAGAACAATCACGGTGTTCAAGGCGAGCTTGCGAGCAAACAGCGCCAGAGAAATGTATTCCAAGTCTTTGAATCCGTTGCAGATGAGAAGGGCATCGGGGTTACCTTTGCATAAGCAGCTCATGGCCAAGAGGAGCTCCGGCTTCGACCCGGCTTCCAGTCCGAAGCGGAACGGCGATCCGAACTTGACAATGTCCTCCACGACGAACCGGTCCTGGTTGCATTTCACCGGGTACACGCCCTGGTAGTGGGAGCCGTAGTCGTGGGACCGGATCGCCAGATCGAAGGCGCCCTGGAGCGACTCGAGCCGGTTCTTGAGCACATCGGGCAGGCGAACAATGAGCGGTAGCTGCAACCCGAGCCCACAGTCCGGTTTCGGATCCGAAACCTTCTTCACGATCTTCAGCAGATCGATCTCCTGGTGCGGCAGAGTCGCCCTCCCGTGAGGACGGACGGCAACGTTGCCGGAGGAATTGACGGTGAAGTAGGGCCCACCCCAGGAGTCGATTCGGTAGAGGTCGGATGAGAGGGACGGGGACCAATGGGAATTGTCGGCGGCGGGGGTGGTGGTGATGGTCGCCGGAGGTACGCCTGAGAACGGCGACGCGGGAAGAGAGCTATCCCCGGCGAAGAGGTGGCCGGGAGGCGCCACAGCAGCGTCCACGCAACAAGCCAGGGCCGGCATCTCTTCTTCCGCGACGATTAATCAATCAAAAAATGAAATTAAGAATTAGAGAAATTTAGGGGTTAGGGTTTGAATCGTTAAATTGTGAGTTTGTAGTGAATGGGGGCTTTAGAACCCGCCGAGGCCGGAGCCCCGGCTACCCCCGCAAACGGAGCAGTAAAGGGGTGTACGGAAAGGGGTCAGGAATCCAGAAACCCCTTCAGTCGGATCCGAAATCCCCACGCCGGAGCCTCAGGAGAGAGAAAGAGAAACGTTTCGTAATAACAGCGGTGGAAATTGTGCGGCCCAGAAAACAGGTTTTTAAGCACCGAAATCAGACGCAACCATGCAGTGCATGTGACAGGATAAGGATGAGGGGATGGGCTCTTGTGGGTTGTTTGTCACCTGAGAAAAATGGAAAACGGCAACTGGCACCCTAAATTTGGGAAATTTTATTTTCCGGGAAAGGCCGGGAAAACTGCTGGGAAAATTAGAAAAATAATAAATAAAAAGAAAAAGGATCCTATTCTTTTCCTCGGAGACTGTCAAGAATCCTGAAATGAAAAGGAGGAGGAAGTGGCAAGAATTGCATGGGAGGCCGGGGGTGTTTATATAGGGAGGGAATCGAAGGGATTAGGGTTGGGCCGGTGGGACCCGCCTTTTGATTTGGGCCTCGGCCAATGAATATCTTTTTCTTTTCTTTTTTTATCAATAGACCAATGAATATCTTTTACTTTAATGTTTTTTTTCTTTCGTGGTTCAACTGGCTTTCTCGTGAGATATAGATTCCTTTTTGACGATTATTTGTGGGTGGGGCTGTCGTAGCCACACATCGGCGACAGCGTCGAGTTGCCGCGTGGCCACTGAGGCGTGGACTGGGACCCACTCTTTGGGGCGGAGCGACTCCCGAGGATTCTCCTGGTTCCAACTTATTCTGTGGCGATAAAATGGGATGGGTTTTAAAATATCGCCGCGAGAGGGAGAGGAGTGCGGTACTTTGAGCAGGAAAGTGGCGCGAAGTTTCTTAGGGAGGCGAGTTATGGGGCGTTTTTTCCGATGGACGGATAGGATAGTGCCACGTATGGATGAGTTCGTTACCAGTCGCCTCTTTGACATTTTCCAAAACACGCAGCGAAAATTGGACTTGGATTGTCTGCCCTCCCATTTAGGTGCCCTTCTCGTGTTCTCCTGTTTTGTGTGGTCATGATTAAGTCACGTTAATATTTTATATTATTTTTTTATAAAAATAATAAAATAAAAATAAATAGTAATATAAAATGTTGACGTGGTTTAACCGTGACCACAAAAACAGAAAGGCATGAGGAGGGCACATAAATTGGAGGGCAGACAATCCAAGTCCGCGAAAATTAGCTCAGGTTTGAAGAATGTCACGTGCAGGTCATGCACTAGATTTGCTGGACTTTCCTTCCTCACTTTCATTTTTCACTTTACGTTATGTGATTTTTTTTGTAAAACAATAATTTTAGTGGATGAGATAATTAATTGTTATTTAATCTATAAAAAAATATGATTGGTGGAGATTGAATTTACAGAGGATATACAAATATAATTGATTTCGTCATTGTAATAAAGCATCATCTATTACGTTATTTGATTTAAAGTATGAACAATTTAAAACCTCATACGGTATTGGTGTTTTTCAAACTTTAAGAAATTCTATAATCATAGAATTTCAAGGAGCGTTATTGCAAATAACTTAAATATCAAGATAAAGTAGATGGAATGATGGATGAATATAACGTAGAGAGTAAAAGGAATTTTTTTTTTTTTTTTATGAGTAATCTTTAATTTAGATAACTTAGAGGGTTGTCATCTATTTCTCTTTTCAAAATGACTTAAATACAACCTAACCATATCTACCAAACGAGACCTAAGGTCCTCCTAATCATTTGCGTAGTGGTCGATTTAATTGAAAATTGAAAACTTAAATAATTATCAAATAAGTCTTTAGTACTTTTATTTTGCATCAACGTTATTTATGATAGAATTTGCAAATTTGACATGTATTTGTCCCATTTTTTGGGGAAATTTTAAAAACGTTACGGATCCAAAAAAAAAAAAGTCTTTGACAGTGAGAGACCTAATTTATTTGACGCGCTTTACACACGTAAACAACGTTTACAGACAAAAGATTGGGAAGCTAAAGAGCATGACCCAAACACCAAAAACAGAAAAACTGACACTCTAAATCCAGCAAAAGTTTGACGAAGGACTCTCTCTCTCTCTCTCTCTCTCTCTCTCTCTTCAGTCACATAAATTCTAAATACTAAATATTAATTATTATTATTATTATTATTAAGAAAGTGTTATTAACACTCTAAAAATCTTATTTTACACTTTTTAAAAGTGTATTTTTCTTTCATAATATAGAAAGTTTAGAGTGTAGAATGAGATTTTTAAAGTGCTAATTACAATTCTTCATTATTATTATAGAAAAAAATAAAATAATAGAAAGAAGAATAGGAGCTTGGACTGCTCACTGCGGGTGGTATCTGGGTAAGTTGCTCTCCTGGAGCGAGGACGCCATGGCTTGCGTGAATGTCAGTACGAATTTACCGAAATGCCCTTTATCTCTTTGAGTCCTCCCAATACGCTTGTGATTTTCAACGACCGTGTGGGGAACTACCAAATCCTGGACGCGTTGCGTTATTTTGGAAGGACGACATTGACCTTGCATGCATTCATGTGAGGTGATTTTGTTTTCTTCTTGAAATTACTAAAAGTCATTGGTTTTTTTGGTCATTCAAATCAAAGCAGACTTTACTTTTATATCTTTTCATTTGAGACGTCAGATTGGACTCAATTATTACTTTGGGTTGCATTTAGAGGCGTGGATTATTGCTCAAGGAAGAAATTTATAAAGAAAGACAAATAAAAATAAAACAAAAATAAAACTTATTTAGTTGAACCGGGCTAAGTTGCAATTATAATTTCGGTTACGACGTCCTTATTCATTTCTTTTATAGAAAGATCTCTGTATTTGTATTTATTCTAAGTTATTTTCATTTTTTTTTGTTACATTAAAGATAATCGAATTACGGACCTATTTGATTCTAATCCATTACAGATAAAATGTTCGTTGCATTAAATTAATATACATACCGAGTGTACACAAAAGCTCCCATACAAATAGTCCCATACAATAGAGTTTTTCCATGGTAAAACAAGTAGATTAAGCCCTAAGAACATCTCTCAAGGAGGTGTCAAATTTAAACTATTACGTTATGTGACACTTTGATCTTGTTGTAAATTTTGTAATTCGATATGTTAAATTTAAACAATTATTTAATACTAAAAACAAAAACTAATAATTAAAATGGTAAAAAGTATTTATTAATCACTAAAAATAGATTTGAAATTACCGTCAAATTAGATAGCAATCACCTTTGATGTCAATCCATGTCACGCCACGTAGGAATTAGCATTTTGGTTGGAAAACATTGAAGCTGTCTTTTTTAACTGTTATTGACGATGCAAAATTTTTTACTCCTCTTTTATAGATGCTCTAATGCATCAATCAGATTATCTATCGAATTACAACTAAACTGTAATACCAAAAAACCATACTTAACTAATCCATGGTATAAATACACATAATATTCTAAAGGTATGGGTAAGGTGGTCTTTAGGGAAATGATAAAAATTGACTTAACAATAAATGGTGAGTCAAAGATGAAGACCAATCAGACCTTTGCTTCCATATAATTAGGCAAATGAGCCAAAGGAGGGTGGGTAAGGGGGAATCCAGAGGAGATAATGGACATTACCTTTTTCTTCTTCTCTTACCCGCAACTTCTTGCAATTGACTATTTGACTTGGAACCTTCTTCCTTTGTGTTCTTTCTTGCATGTCACGTTCATATAGAGTTAAATTAAATTAAATAATTTTGAAAGGATATGAATATTGATTTTCATGACTTAAATTGAAATTAAAGATTCTTGTTAGAGACGTATTTACAATATTATAAATTTAATTATCACGTGGACAATCATAGATGATCTCATAGTTTAGAAATTTGCTAGCAAGAAGCGAGTCTTTGCAGAACTCTACCAACGTCTTACTCTCTCTCTTATAATATACTAATTGGATCCCACAATTGAACAAATTCAAATTTTCTATTTAAAGAATTTTTAATTTTTAATTAAATTTTAATATTTTCTCTCTCCTCCTCACCTTCTTCCATACCCAGTAGCATGTTTACTAATCCGTAATCAAATTGAAAGGAATTGAATTGAGGAGGAATTGAAATGAGGTGGAATCAGAATCAGATTCCTATTGAAGTTGTTTACTAAAACTGTCCGAAATCGGAATACAATTCCATAAAGCTGTTTACTAATTCAGCAGAATCGGAATATAAACCAGTATGATTACTAAAATGCCCTTGTCTCAAATCAAATATTTTATATATTTTTTTTAATAAAATTTGATATAATAGTAAGAAAAAATTAAATTGCTTTTTTATTTCATAGACATACTAAAATGATTTTGTTTATTTTTTTATAAATTTAAGTATTGACTTTAATATCTAAAATTTCTCGCTCAAGTTGTAGTTTTTTCTCTTTGGCATATGTACAGAGTTGTGCATAATGTGAATGAGCATAGAATTATACTTAATGAGCTAGAAGGACATGGGTTGGGTGAAAAGAAATGAGCTAGGTGAAGATAGAAAATGAGTTGGGTGAAAAGAAAAATAAGTCTAGGGTTAAAAGGATAATCTTGGAAATAATGAAAGTAAATGAGGGCATAAAGGGAAAAAAATTATCATTCCGATTGCTTGGGCAATCCGGAATCCAAATACCTTGTATATGTTGGGAATCCAAATCCTCCAATTTAAGGAATTGGATTCCATTTTTTGTGTGGGCCCCACACACTTTTGATTACTCTCAATTTTAGTAAACACATGTATAATCCGTAATCGGAATCGGATTCCTTATTCTCATTCCGATTACGGGTTAGTAAACGCGCTCCCAAGAGTGTGTAAATATAAATTGCTCAGCTGTTCCTATCTCTAACGACCACGAGATTGGTATTTTCATGAAAACTGCTACTCTAGCTAATACATATGAAAACTACTACTGTAGATAATTAGCAATGCAAATTAAATTCTTGGGGGAGAGAGAGAGAGAAACGCAGAAGGAGATTTAGATCTTTGGTTTATTTTTTCACATTCAACCTTGATTTTTTAGTTTTTCTGGTTATAGATTCAGATCTTGGGTTCACCTAAAAAAAAATTTATATGGTTTTTGCAGCTTGCCAACCATGGTTTCCAGTTTCATAGTTTGGGAGAGAAGATGACGACTATAGTTAATTTTCACATTAAATATTATTAACCATGTAATGCCAAGTGGCACAATCTTAGCTTAGTTAATGACATGTGCCGACCATTAGATTCTAGTTAGATTGGAGGATTGTTGACCGTTGGATATTAGTTAGTTAGATTGTTACTTAGCTATTAAGTTTCCTATTTACTATAAGTAGTGATGAGATGCTATTTACAATGTAATGAAGGTTTTATCTCTCTAATACAAAAAATACTTTACAATTCTCTCTCTAAAACTCTCTGTATTCTT